CTTTGTGGTTAACATTTTACTTTTGATAGTAATTAGGTTTTTGTAGTGGCAAATTTTAAATGTCAGGTTTTTTTTCCCCTGTAGGATACGTTTAATTCACTTTAAATCTGCAAATTCATAGAATTTTAGGCCAAGAAATGACATGAGTGTCTAGTTCATTTTGTAAATTAGTACAGAGTGGATGAAAACTATAACATTTGTATGAGGCCAAATAGCAAGATAGTGATAAAAACAGGACGCTAATTGTTTGGTTTATTATGGCAAATCAGATACTCAGAATGTTGAGAAGTGATCTCTCTCAATTCTCTTTAGTTATGATAATTTGTAGGATATTTCTTTTCAGGCTGTTTAAATTCAAGTGCTATCACTAAAGTCAGCAGATACTTAAAAAAAAAAAAAACACAACTAAAAACTTTAGATGTTGGTTGGGAGAAGGCAATGGCAACCCACTCCAGTTCTCTTGCCTGGAAAATCTCATGGACAGAGGAGCCTGGTGGGCTGCAGTCCATGGGGTCGCTAAGAGTCGGACATGACTGACCGACTTCACTTTCACTTTTCACTTTCATGCATTGGAGAAGGAAATGGCAACCCACTCCAGTGTTCTTGCCTGGAGAATCCCAGGGACGGGGGAGCCCACTGGGCTGCTGTCTGTGGGGTTGCACAGAGTCAGACACGACTGAAGCGACTTAGCAGCAGCAGCAGCAGCAGCAGCAGATGTTGGTTAGTTTTTTTTTTCCCCAGAAATATTTACCAGCTCCTGTCACATTTACATAACATTGCTTGTTTAATTTTTGTCCACATAGTCTCACACAATCTTTGTGAGTTCTTCCCTCCCATTTAACTTCAAGTTAATATACTTCTACATAGTTTTAAAACTTTTAAATGACTCCCTAATTGCATTAGTAAAATAGAATTAAACTCTTCCTCTGTTGGACATTGGTCTCTACTTTTTAAAACAAAAGAGAAATGCTGCAGTATCATCTGCATTTTAAATTTGTAATAGCTGTGGAAAATGTGATATTCTTCTCTCAGTGTTCCCCCCCATTACCTTTTACTTCTGGGAGAAAAACTCCCAAAGTAACACAGCATAATACGTAACTGTGTATTTTTGAATCAACACCATTTAAAATTTCTGGGGAAATATTTTAAAATTTAAAGTGAGGTTGATTCGAAAATACATACAGTTTTCATTTTAAATATTCAGAGATAAAACACAAAGTGATTGTGATTTCTATTAGGATATTTGAGTATTGGGTAGTTAAGTATAAAATTCAAAAGAAAAAAGCATGTGCAGTTAAAAATGGCCTCTGTCTCATCTCTTGTCTCTTAAACAGTTAGGTTTCTGAGTTAACTTCTAGAATCAACCAGTTTTTAGGGGGCTGAAAAAACCACTAGTTGGTGTTTTCCTCTAGTTTTGCTTTTTTCGGAATGCTATATAAATAGGATCAGGTAACTTCTTCAGCATGACTTCTTTCACTTAGCATAATGTGTTTGAAATTCATACATATGTTGCTTATATGAGTAGTTTATTCCTTTTATTGCTGAATATTTGTCCATGTGTGGGTGTACTATAGTTTTTAAATTCCTTTCCCAGTTGAGGGACATTTGAGTAATTTCCAAACATTAACAGGCAGGTTTTGCTTGAACATAAGTTTTTCGTTTTACTTGTGTGAATACCTAGTGACAGTATTGATGGGTTATTTGGATAAGTGTGTGTATAAGTTTATAAGAAACTGCCAAACTATTTTCTTAAGTGGCTGTACAATTTTACATTCCTACCAACAAACTTTTGCCTACTTTAGAACTAGGTTTTCTTTTTTTTCATTTATTTTTATTAGTTGGAGGCTAATTACTTTACATCATTGCAGTGGGTTTTGTCATACATTGAAATGAATTAGCCATGGATTTACATGTATTCCCCATCCCGGTCCCCCCTACCACCTCCCTCTCCACCCGATCCCTCTGGGTCTTCCCAGTGCACCAGGCCCGAGCACTTGTCTCATGCACCCAACCTGGGCTGGTGATCTGTTTCACCCTAGATAATATACGTGTTTCGATGCTGTTCTCTTGAAACATCCCACCCTCGCCTTCTCCCAGAGTCCACAAGTCTGTAGAACTAGGTTTTCTTAATATTGTGTTTTGTGACTTCTTTATATATTTTGGGTACAAATCTTTTGAGATTTGTGAATATTTTCTCTCAATTCAATTTTTTAATTTTTTCTTTTGTAAGTTGTGCTTTTGGGGTTGTATCTTAAATCCTTGTCTCACCCAAGGTCTAATTTTAGGTCTGTGATACTTTTTTTGGGTTATATTTTTATTATGGTGTACAGTGTGGATTGAGACTTTTTTGCATATGAGTACCTAGTTCTAGCGCCATATATTGAAAATACTTATTGCTCTAGTTGTTTTTGAACCTTTGTTGAAGGTCAATTAATCGGTTGTCCTAAGTTAAAGGTTTAGCTGCTTTAAAAAATAGTAGCCAACTATGGAAATTATTCTTTTATAATTAAATTGTATCAAGCTATAGAGTAAAAGGACCTACTCAGTGAACATGAGTTTGAGTAAACTCCGGGAGTTTGTGATGGACAGGGAGGCCTGGCGTGCTGCAGTCTATGAGGTTGCAAAGAGTCAGACACATCTGAGTGACTGAACTGACTGACTGACAGAGTAAAAGAGTATTATGAAATTTGGCCGGACATTGGTGTCCTATGGGCTTCCCTTGTAGCTCAGCTGGTAAAGAATCCGTCTGCAATGTGGGAGACTGTGTTCCATCCCTGGGTTGGGAAGATCCCCTGGAGGAGGGAAAACTACCCACTCCAGTATTCTGGCCTGGAGAATTGCATGGACTTTATAGTCCATGGGGTCGCAAAGAGTTGAACACAGCTGAGCGACTGTCACTTTCACTTTGGTGTCCTATACTGTGAGATTTGGGTTAATCTAGTTTATCCGAATATTTATTATTTAGGAATTTAGATGTAGTTTGCAGTTAACAACTTTTAACTGTTAAACTTAAAAAATAAATTTATTTATTTATTTTTGCCTGTGCTGAGTCTTTGTTCGTGCGCAGTTTTCTCTAGTTGCTGTGTGTGGGCTTTAGTAGTTGTGGTGCTTGGGCTCAGTAGTTGTGGTTCCTAGGCTTACTTTCTCTGCAGCATGTGAGGTCTTCCCAGATCAGGGATCAGACCTGTGTCTTCTGCATTGGCAGGTGAATTCCTTACCAGTGAACCACCAAGGAAACCCCAACTATTAAACTTTTAAATGCTAGAGTAGAAGTTAAATGCCAAGAGGCAGGTGTTACTTTAAAGAGATCATTGGACGAAATATTGGAGATTAAGTCAGACTGAAGATTAATGGCTATTTTTTTTTACATTATTTGTTGATGGTGGTTTTTTCTTTTTTTTTTTGATGGTTGTTTTTTCATCATTCTGGGAAGGGAGAGTGGTAGTGTTCGTTGCTTAGTCGTGTCCTACTCTTTGTGACCCCATGGACTGTATGTAGCCTACCAGGCTCCTTTGTCCATGGGATTCTCCAGTCAAGAATAGTGGAGTGGGTTGCCATTCCCTTCTCCAGGGGATCTTTCCAACCCAGGAGTCGAAAGCAGGTCTCCTGCATCGCAGGCGGATCCTTTTACCATCTGAGCCCCATTGCTCTTAAATCCTGTTCCATTTTTAAGATTAGCTTTTATCTTTGGAAACCCCACTCCTATCCTATTACTCCTTTCTTCTTTTGGATAGACTCTGCCATACAGTTTTCTTATCTTTAACCTGGTAAAAACAAATAACATAACATTTTTCATTTTAATTAAAGCGCATAGTCCAGTGGCGTTAAATACATTACCAGTGTTACACAACCATCATTACCACTGTCCAGTTCAGAACTTTTTCGTCACTACAGGACCCCATTCTAGTCCTTACGGACTTCACAGTCTGGTGAGGAAACAAATAACCTAGTGTTTACCTTATGGTGTGGCAAATTATACGTCAGAGCTTGCTGTAATTAAGCTGTATTCGTTCAACTAAAATTTTACTTTGAAAGAGCAAAGTAATTTTTGGTTAGGTTAACATCCAGGTTGTCCTACCACTCCATACCTGAATTAAATTTAGGGTAGACTGAAATCTTTAGTTTTTTTGGCTTAAATAAATTCAGGACTCACAAATCCTTGTGCCCTCTACTTTGTAAGATCATTTGAGGAATAGCTCTATTTGGGATGGTAAAAGAATTTGCCTGCAGTGCAGGAGGCCCAGTTACTTTGTAACAAGAAGGAAACTGAAAAATTGATACTCTGATTTAAAGCTAAATTATGAACTCTTCATTTTCTCATGGAGCAGAAAAAAACAGAACTTCCTAGTTATCTGTTTCTATCCTCAATTGAGCTGTTTTGACTTATTCTAGTTGTAGTGACAGCTTCCTTGATTATGGTCAAATATGGCATTATACAGGCATGCTTGTGTCTGTTGGCAGATCATTTGAGGAATAGCTGTATTTAGGATACTGTGTCAAGAGATTGTGTTTCTGAACTTGAAGCTTTGGAGTTGGAAATTGATGATTTAAAGTTGAATATTTTAGCAGTTTTAGTGAAAGACAGTGTTAGCGACATTGAACAGTGTTGTAATACAGATTTTATTTGCATTCTGCTGTCAGGGTTTGTTTGCTGTAGCACAAGATTGTTTTGGAAAAATAAAACACAATACAGCCCTTTGTTTTTAAGATTCTGCAGTCTTCCTAATATAGTCAGTCTCAGAAAGAGTTGCTATCCCAAATGATGGTTAATGTTTTAGTTAGCAATTTCAGTGTTTATCATAGGAAAACAAGTTCATATTATTAGATCTAGACTTCTAATAAATTGTGTTTACAGATTTAAGAAAGCCTGAATTTGTGACAGTTTTGGTTTTTTATTCAAAAAGAAGGAAAAATTAAAAACAACCCCCTAGTTTGATTAGTTTTACTAATAATTTTGGCATTTGCTTTCAGGAAAAATAACTGTAGTCTTGTTTTTTCAGGGTAATCACTTTGATCAATATGAAGAAGGACATTTGGAAATTGAACAAGCATCCCTTGACAAGCCTATAGAATCGGTAAGATCAGTGCTTAATTTGGGGTCATAGATAGATAGATGGGTAGTGTTCGTGTGACACTTGATGTGAATGAAGTTAAACTTATTAATTAACTTATAGTACAGTTTAGAGCTGTTTTCTTGCATGCCCTACAGTAATCAAGTAGAGTTTGAGTTGTAATCTAATATTCAATATGTTAGGAAATCAGTGAAAAAAATCTAGAAACATTTTTGAATTTTGATGGAGAAATATCATTTTTGGCCCATACTGATATTTTGTTAAAGATAACAAGTTTAAGTTTAGTTGAAGTTTCTGTATAAATTGAATAAAGGAGTAAAATGTATTTTGATCCTTTAAAAAACCTTCACCTTTCCTGGCAACACAATCATGTGCGAAATGTTCCATTAGGAACAGTTAGGGGCTAATGTTTTTATTTACCAGACTCTTGTGAGACATGGTAACTTCGATCTCTATGGTTTAAGAGATGTCTGGTTTTTGTCAAAAGTTGATTGTATCTATTCACATGACTTAATTTTAAATATTGATACAACGCAACAGAACAAAGAGATTTGTTTTCCTGACTCTCAATTTTTTGAACATTATTTTTATTTTGAAAAGCGCTTTATTTTCAGATTACACAGTCCATTGTTAAAATGTCTAAATTTGTCAGTATTGTCAGTATTTAATATTTGTTCTTAAGTGTATGTATGGAGTCATCGGAGAGAGAGTCTCTATAACAGTCAAAAGACGTTCCCCTTCTCCCTTTAAGAAATACTAGCTTCTCCTCCCTCAGGAAAATAAGGCAATTTAGAGAATACAGATATTTTAACTTTAGCTTTTATTTTTATAGCTGTAGCATAGTAAAGGATCAACATATATTTATGTTCCTAACTAGGTTGGTGTTGTGTGTGTTTGTGTGTGTGTTTAGATGTTTACAGAAATTTACACAACTTGGGGTGTTCGACATTTTTCTTCCACAGCAGTTGGCCCATATTAGCTAAGCAGCCATGATCTGGTTTGTATTGCACGGTCTGCCTTTTTTTAATTTCTTCTCTAGGGTTTCTTTCTCCCCCACCTCCCCTTCTTATTTCTGTTCTTCTGGTCCAGTGAACACTGCATATAGTACCTTCTGTCTTAATGTGCTGGCATGATGCTAGACTTAGGCATGGCAGTAATTGATGACGCATGTGATAATGCTGCAGAGGGAGAATTCACATCTGATGTTGTGCTGAAAGCCCAGTCTTGTGTTTTGACTTAAGGATGAAATGCCAGGCCCACTTTGATGAGTTAAAAAATCTTTGAAGTTTTTGTCTTATTTTACTATCGTCTTGGGAATTATCACAAGGTGGAATTTTACAGTGAAATCTATGGGCTAGCTAGGTCAGTATTTTATACTTGAAAAAGAACTTTTCCATATCATTTAAATGTTTCTTTGGGTCAAAGTTTAAGAATAGATAGCTGTCAGCAGAAAGACCCAGGTGGCATATTCTACAAGGTACAAGGTTGATTAATATTATACAAGCTATAATTCAGTGGGTACTCTGACTCAACAGTAGCAGGAAATTTAGCTGGACTAAATTTGCGGCCTAGTATTCATTAGGACTATACTCAAGAAAGTTTTAATAAAAGCACGAAATTAAATGATATTTAACATTTTAAAAGCCTTCTTTTAGGACTGCATTTAAAGGTTTTTGGAAAGTTTGTTCCTTTGGCATGTGGGACTAGTGCTCTTTTTCCTCTCACAATGTCCAGGAATTTTCCCAGCATATGTCACAGAGAGAACACTGTCAGAAGGCAGTCTGACTGAGTAATCTCAGCGAGTAGGAGTGGAATTGATATATGCCTTACTTATTAAATAGTATTATCTTCTCCACTAAAAATAGCAAGTGTCCTCGGACTGGATATTTAATTTTTTATGAATAAGTATATATTCAGAGATGTATAGTAGTAAATTGTACTTCTAGTGAAAATTTACTCCTGAAACACATTAAAATATGCATTATTTGTGATGTGGTAATTTAGGTAGTAATAGTAAGGTGCTTCATAGCCAACGTGGTGTTAGAAGTGGGACGAAAAGAGAGGGGTTTTATTTCTGTTCCCCAGTCATTTGGGGGTAAATTTAAAGTTTTAAAAGAAAGTCCTAAAATGATTGGCATAAAAATAGATAGTGTAGTAACTTCCAAGAGCCCTATCACCTTGGGAATGCCCACCAAGTAAGTGTATATTAGTTACACGTCTGGCTGGCTGGCTATCTTGTTGAGCTATTGAGCTATCTTGTTCTTAGGGGGAAATAGCAGTTGCTTCTAACACACAGAAAGAGTCTCTGCTGAATTAAAATCTTTCTCTGCAGCAATATCTATTGAGAGGTGCTGACTGTTTTGCTACAGCATGCAACTCAAAAGTGGCTGGAAATATGCAGCTTTGGGAGTCTACAGATCATTGCAGGAGCTAAAGGTCTAGTCATTTTTTTTTTTAAACAAAGGTAATCTGCAGCAGCTGGTAACCGAGGAAGTCTCTGCACAGGTTTGTGCCAAGAATATGCCCATGTGAAGGGTTATTGTGAGTATAGGATTAAGGGCTTTTTGTTTTGTAACAGGGTTAATGTGTTGCAAACTAGCAAGATGGGAAATGAGATACAAAGATGTGATAATACATTATGATTTTGATAAACTTGTGAAGCTTAGATTTGTTCCTGAGATGATACAGGTACTTCAGTTTCAATCTGGAAATGTTGAAAATACATCAAAATCCAGCATTAATGAAATAGTTGGTTATCTTTGGTATAAATTTTTATTTTCCCTGGTTTATTTCAACCAACCAGATATCTTTCAGTGAAGTTTCTGGTCGACAATAAAAAACTGTTTCAAGAAAATTATTAAAGAATTGCCAGATAACTTGTTTATCTGAATTAAAGAGAAGGTGGAAAGTATAAACATTTTGCTCTTATTACAAAAAACTTTTTAAAATTTATGTTTTAATGTAGCTGCTTTATGAGATTTTTAGGCCCCAGCTATAATTATGATCTCCACTTTATACCGAAAAATAAAGCATTTAAAAAACAAAAATCTTAAAACCATGACCCAGTCTAGAATTCCACCATAGATCCAAAAATTGGTTGATCTGACTTAAGGTATATGGTTCTTTGTGATCTTTACCATAGAAAGAAGATGAGAAATCAGATGGGAGAGTGATTATAAGCTATACAAAGGCAAAAATCCCTGCACCATAGACTTAAAATATGTTGTCATTGTTGCAGTTGGAAGTGAAACTGCCCGTCAGCCAGTACTTGGTCTTTGTTCTACCTGACTGATTAAAATTCTGTCTTTATAGTTGTCAGGTTGACTGAGCAGGTTTAAAAAATTAATGTAAGTTTTCAAATTCCAGTTGCTGATGTTTACTTTGCATATCTAAGGATTTAGAAGTATATGTATAAGTGGGTTTTGTTATGTTGCATATCTGTTTAGATCTGTGGACTCCACTAGTTCCAAACTGTAATTCTATAAGACTGCTGATTTGATATTTAGCAGTGACCATATGTGGACTGCACTATAAATAATGTGCTTCTTGGAGCTGAATGGTGTAGCATTACTATGTGGCTTTTCTCTCTAGTCTTCATTGTGTCATCTGTAGTGAGCTATAGATTTTTTTGTTTGGGGAATTTTTACAACTTGTTGTCTGCATGGGTTCACCTAGTAGCACTTGGTTTTTGCTTATAGAGTCTTTAATACACAATCAGCAAAGCTTACAATCCACTCAAGAGATTTGCCATTTTTGTCACTGTTGAAAATGAGCTAAATGGTGTAAATTGAATGTGGCTGTCGACTAAAAGAAAATTCAGTGTGGAATTAGTATTCATCTAGTCACTGCCATAATTGTAGTATAGTTTTCTCTTGAGACTTGGTATTCTGTTTCCTACTATTAAAAAACTTAGAATCAACCCCACACAATGAAGTGAATTTTAGTCTATATTTTGGCAGACTCCCATTATACAGATTGGTGGGGCTGTTTCCCAAATTGTTATTGTTTCTTTGACGGTATACAGTTTCAGGGAACAGAGGGAAGTTCCTAGGAAAGTTTTCTGCTTGGTATTTAATTAAATTGTTGAGGAATGGCTGAAACAATAATGAGATGGTTTTTTGTTTTTGTGTTTTGGCTGGTATTGTGTTTTTAGCATATTGGTAGTTGTTTCTAATACACATTTCTTGCTATTACTGATGTTCCCATTTAAAAATTATATCTTCCTTTCTTGCACATTTAGTACAGAAGATTAAAATATAGCACTTTAATTTACATTTAAGTTTAGAAATAGAAAAACCATAAAGGCCAATTTAGGTAATCTAGATGAAAAAAGTTTTGAGTTTTTAGCTCAGCTTCATAGTTTAACCAGAATTAAGAAGAACTTCATTCCTAACCAAATAAAATGCCAGACTGCCACCATTTTTGAATGTTAAGGACAGAGAGTAATAAATAGGTCATGGGAAGAATTCCCTGGCAGTCCAGTGGTTAGGACTGCACTTTAACTGCCAAGAACTCAGGCTCAATCCCTCATCAGGGTACTGACACCCTACAGGCCGTGTGGCTCGGTCAAACAACAACAACAAATAGGTTGTGGGAACTCTTTATAAATGATCTGGAAAACCACCTTTTTGCCTACCTCCCTTGGGCAAAGTTAGTTGCTTTATTAATTGTTTAAAATTAGTGTTTTCCTGCATTTCTTCCATATGTATTTAAATTATAAACAGCCTATCTCACTATACATGCCCCTTTTGTCAGTCACAAACCAGTCTGTGTTAAAAAAATACATTTTCAGTTCTATAAGATTATAACTAAACTTCAAATTATTTATTTTGCTTAAAAATAACAACGAAGTTTTTTTTAAGTAATCATAATAATAAATTGTTATTTCAGGAGTTAAATAGTGCTCATTGCCCTTGTTATGTCTAGATTACCGGTTGAGGCTACAGATTACTGCAGCTTACTGTTACAAATGACATTTAGTTCTGTTAATACTTTGTTATGAGGTATTTTGATGTGCCTTTCTTGTGTTACCCATCATCCTTAAGCCTACTGGATTTTTGACTAGTCTTTATAAAACTTTTTTCTTTTGGTAGGAAAAGGTACCATAGTGAATACTAGTCCTTTCTGCAGAGTTGCAGAACTGCCATTTTTCCTCCAAAAACAGATATAGTCTGAAATTATAGGAAAGGCTCAGATTTTCTGTAATCTAGGAGGTTCGTGAGTGGAAGACTTTCTGGGAGATATGCCTATTATTTTTGTTGCTTTTTGTTATAATTGCAAGGACATGGAATGGCATATTAATAATATTAATACATAACCACTGACATTTCATTCCCTGTTCATACTTGGGGAAAGTGAAAGAAAGTGAAGTCACTCAAGTCGTCTCCGACTCTTTGCGACTCCATGGACTACCAGGTTCCTCCGTCCATGGGATTTTCCAGGCAAGAGTACTAGAGTGAGTTGCCATTTCCTTCTCCAGGAGATCTTCCCAACCCAGGGATTGAACCTGGGTCTTCCGCATTGTAGGCAGATGCTTTACTGTCTGAACCACCAGGGAAGTAGATTTAATTAAAGAACAGTTTTCGTTTAAACATTTAGAAGAGAAGTATCACTGCCATTTTGTATCAATAGCTTTTTTTGAGAAGGTGACAGCCATCTTGAGTGGTTTTGTAAAAGTGATGCTAATGTGTATAACCCTAAGTTTTTCTTTTTTCTCCCTCTCCCTTTAACATTTGCTTTTCCTTTCACTGTTGTCAGTCACAACACGCTGCTCTTGAATCTCTCAGCTGGTCTTGACTCGTGAATTTACTTATGCTTTCACTCTTCTTTAATAAATACATTAATTGCAAGCAGTGAATTGAAAACAAGACAAAAAAAAAAACGACCATTAGTGATTGGACAGTTTCTTACTTTGTGTTACATTTAACTGTTCTTTTGACAGCCCAGTTTTTAAAGCCAGGTTCGTATGGAAATGCTTTCACTCCACTTGCACTGCTTTTGGAAATAGCATACTGCTTCATCTGTCTGTTTATTTTAGTGCATTCATAATATAACACTGTCAGCATAATGTCTCATCTCCACTTAGCCAAAAGATAGTTTTCTTAATTTAAAAAAAGGGACAACAATTTTTGTCAGCATGGTTTTAATACCCTAAATCTGTGCCTAGTCATAAAATTAGCCTATTAAAAGATTTAACAATACTTTATTCAGCTACATAATCTTAGAGTCATTCTGCTATCCTTGTCCTTTCTGTAGTTAATTTAGTTGTAGGAGTTATGATATAAAACAAGGATTTTATGTACAGGTAAGTTTATTTCCACAGTAGTACTATAAAGGCCTCTCTCTTGATCTTCATTTTCTGCTAACATTAGTTGTATTAAGACTTAACAAAAGTGTTGTTTTTTTTTTTTTTACAATAAAGTTATTTATAAATAGTTAGGCATTCAGTACTTGGATTACATATAACCATAGCATTTTCTCATTATCTCAGTTCCTAGCAAAAAATAATCTCTAGTGACCTTTTGTGCACAGTAGTTACTGTGTATATGTATGTTTAAAATAATTTCATGTTTTGTTATAGAAACAGTTTTCATTATCATTTGCCCCATTTTTTCAAGTATCCTGATCTCCATTCTTCTAATCAATAAAATAATAAGCTGCTCAGTCCAGTTTTCTAGTTGGCATCCTGTCATAAACTCATAGAAGGAAGTTGACCCTTTTTTTTTTAAGCAGAGCATTGAAGAGACCTAATCTTCCTCTTGTAACTTACTATCAGAGAATATACTAGTAACATAATTTTTTCTATAATTCTAGAGCATTTTACCTTTGAATATGTAGCTGGAAGATAAAAATCAATTTAATCTGAGATGTTTGTTTTTAATTCAGAAATTTATGGTTTAGTTGACTTCATAATTTCATTTCGAGAAATATGAGATTATTTTCAAGTGGTGATACCCAATTAATATTATAAATTACATCTTAATGCATACAGAACACTTTGTTTACAATTTTTAAATGTTTTCCTTTTGATAAGTAACATCATTTTATCAGGTACAGTTAAATGATTATTTTAGTGTTCTTTCTGTATTTGTAAAAAGCAAAGAACTGGACAAAGGTCTGCAGAGGTTTCTAAGATCTTGAAACCTTATGCAAAAGCTGACATTAAGTTGTTGTTTCTAGTGTCTTTACATGTGGTTTCCATTGAAAGATCTTTTCCACTGTGCTCCTAGGAAGATGAGACATTATGTATATTGGTTTTTTTCCCCTACATGCACTAATGGTTCTTTACTGTTAACTTATTGCTAGGCCTGTTTCATTCTAACATTTTAGCATTTTTGTTAGATTACATGTTGAAATGCATCACTCAGTCTGTGCTTGAGCTCATTTTATTTTTCTGTTTAATCAATTTAATTTCTCGTTTTACTAACCTCACTGTTTTTTCAGTTTAATATTGGCTGCATGCTAGTTAAATATTTATATTTTATATATATGTATTAAAAAACCAATCAAGTCTAGCCTGGATTTTGCTCTGATTGTGTTTTCATTTCTAGTGGTGGGGCAGTCTTACACTTACAACTTACTTTATATCATGAAAGCCTGACACATAAGCAAAATAACTAAACACAATGTAGATTTTCTTTAAAAAAAACAAACAAACTCTTAAAGTGGTGCTGTCTAGGTGGTGGATATGATTGTATAAGTACTTTGATTTTATGCTTTTTAATGTTAGTTTTAAACTTCATAAGTGTATTCTTCCCCCTTTCCCCTTCCCTTTTTTCTCTTTTTAAAAGTGTTGTGTATAAAAATTGCCCAACACACCATCAGAAAGGACCCTTACCCTCTTTGGTCTTCCTGTATAAAATACTAGCCAGTATTTCTTTTTACATTAATGCCCCCTTTATTGGGCACAGTTCCCCTATTAGCACCTTTTTTGCATGCATATATGTAGAATTATCTCTTGTTCATCACCTGTTAAATATCACTAGGAAGGGAAGAATATATTATTGGAATATTTTTGGTTTGTCTCTCTGTTCTGTCTGTCAGGATAATATTGGACATCGCTTACTCCAGAAACATGGGTGGAAGCTGGGCCAGGGATTGGGAAAATCTCTTCAGGGTAAGTTTTTTAAATACACCAAGAAAAAAGAAAGAAAAAATGTTTCTGATGCAGATCTTATGTCTGAATATATTTGTTGTCTTTCTTTAAAAAGTGTTTGGGCTCCCCCCCCTCCCCCCCACCTTTTATCCCCTAGAGTAGTCTGTTTTTCCTATAACTGTATTACTATTAAGCTAATAATTTGCAAGAGTAAGCTGCTGTGTCATTAATACTTTCAGGTCAAACATACTGTGTATGGCTCAATCTGTTTTTAATTTCTTTTGGTGGAAGTGATGGGTGGGTAAAGTAAATGAAATACATAGTATCAGAATGTACTTTCTTTGTATCACTTAGTGATGGATTGTGGCTGCTGTATTTTAAAGAGGATTAATTTCAACAGCAGAGTTTAATTTTTGCCCTCCTGAATTCTTCCTGAAGCTGGTGATTGCCCTGGTTCTTTGTCTCTAATCAGACTCCATGCAATAGTAGAGAGAATAATTAATCTATATGAAACATAAAATGGAAACAGAGATTTCCTAGGGTTCTCTGAGAGGCCATTTCTCAAGTTCAGGTCAGTCTGTGGGAAATGTATGGCTTAAAGTTTACATTGCATGAATTTTTTTCTTTTTAACTATACTAATCATTTGGATAACAAACAATGCTAACATTTCTGCTTCTGAGTTCTTGCTAGTTGAAAACCAGTCAACCAACTCCATTCACTTATTAGCTCCCTCATATTCAAGGGCTGCTGTTGTCTGCAGATGTGAACAGTACCTCAGAAATGATGGAAATCATTGTACGTCTACATTTGGTCATGAAGGGTCTTGTTGTATAAAGGGATCTTTGGGGAGAGGTGCACTACTGTTGACTTAATTTTTTGAATTTGGGAAATGAATTTCCATAATACGAGTGGGCAGTCTATAATCAGTTCAGGACGGGGCAAGAAACAGGATGTTTCAGTCTTTACATCCTTTGCTTTTTAAAGTATACATCCGCAGATTCTATTCAGTGCTGACATGAGAAATGCTCAGAAATACATTTCAAATTAATATTTATTACTAAGCATTAACCTGTCCTTTGGGGAGGTAGAAAGATTTGATCACCACTAAACTTGTTTTCCAGTGGTGCAAGAACTCATTGTACACAGTATAAAGAATACTCAACAACTGAGAGCAATTTGTATGGCATAGACCATAGATTTTGTAAGAGACCAGAAAAGAGCAGGGGTCATCAGGACTAAAGTAGAAATGACATCTTGAGAGATTTAGTCCCAGTGGTTTGCACAGTTAAATGTTGGGTTGGGTTGAATGGAGGTAATAGTTCAGCATAAGGTCTGAAGATTGGATTTGATCTTTCCCCCTACTATTTGAAACCTCTCTTCCTATTCAGAGATTCCCAGGAGCATTGTTGATTGTTACTGTTTTTTTTCAGGTACACAGGGGAGTAGAATTTGGGGACATCACATGGGGGCTAGCAAATCTGTTTGAATCCCAGAGTTTTGCATTGTAAGCATTGGAGACTTCAAAGTTCAACTAGAACTGGCAGAGAATAAGAGTGAGAGAGACATACAGCAAGCGTGCTCTGTGATGGTCTAAAGAGGTGGGATGGGCCGGTTTAGGGGGGGAGGGACCTGTGTATACCTGTGACTGATTCATGTTGATGTATGGCAGAAACCATCACAATATTGTAGAGTAATTATCCTCCAATTAAAAATAAAATACAATTTTAAAAAAGATTAGGTAAATGGGTACTTAACTATTTTTGGGTGATGGAAAATTATTGTTTCATTTTAAGAATACTTTCAAATTTGGGTCTCTTTAAACTTTGAACTTCTCCTTGAAAAGAGAAATCAGATTTTATTTTTTTCTTTTTAATTGTGGCAAAGCCCACGTAACATATAATTGCCATTGTAACCATTTTTAAGTGTATATTTTGGTAGTGTTTACTAAATTCACATTGTTTTTCAAAGCCCATCTGTCTTGAATGGCTAGTACAGTCTCTACCCTTCAAAAAGAATGGGACCTTATTCTCCTGCCAGCATTAAGGGGTGACTTTAATTGTCTTGGAAATGGCTCTTTTATTTTTTTAGTGTCACAGTCAACATTGTACAGACATTGAGTTGATTTCTTTTACATAGCTCTTTCTGTAATACCCACATAGTTTGACTAGAATATAGCCACATTTATGACATACTGAGATAATTCATGAAAAATTTTTTTCATTGTACCAAACCTTTGCTACAAATAACCACTGAAGAAAGCCCTATTGCTTTGCAGAAAATCATAATGCCTTCTTACTACTGCATAGACTAATCACTGCAAATAATTTCTAGGTTCATGGCTTTGTAAGTTCTTTGTATTTACTTGTTTATTGTCAACTTTTAGTTGCTTTTGTTTTATTTAGGCTCTAACATTTTTTAACATGCAGTCATCCACTGAATTTAAACCTGATCTTTTCAAGTTTTTGTTAACATTTAAAAATTATTGCAAGCCCTGCGAGACTTTATAGAGTGCTAGTCTTTGGGGCTGCAGTGTATATAACTTGTCACTGGATAGGTTGGAGAATAGGGCATGCTAACTCTGAAACAGAATTCTTTGTGGCACGATAGAAAATTCAGCTTTATTAGGTGGGTTTAATTTTGTACTTGAATTTCCCTTATTCACCTTTTGTTCTCCCTTAATATTTATTAGGGCTTCCATAGTGGTACTAGTGGTAAAAGAACCTGCCTGCCAATGTGAGTTAGACATAAGAGACACCAGTTGGATCCCTTTTGGGAAGATGCCCTAGAGAAGGGAATGGCAACCCATACCAGTATTCTTGCCTGGAGAATCCCATGGACAGAGGAGCCTAGGGGGCTTCAGTCTATGGGGTTGCACAGTTGGACATGACTGAAGCGATTTAGCACACATCACAGGGCTTATAAAAATATTTCAAAAGTTAAAATTTGTGTGTGGCAGATAAGTGATTGTTAGTATTAAAAAAAATAAAAGACTTGTAGGAAATGTTTTTGACAAGATACCTGAAGGAAACAACAATAAAGAAAGGCCTGCTGATGAGAAATACTATGAACGGTTGTGTGTGTGTTTTTTTTAATGGAGGCAGAGAGTGTGTTTAATTTGGAATAAACAGCAGATGATAGTTGTATTTTGTGGGTGTTGAATTTGGTTCTTGAAATTGTTTTATGACCTTCTGGCAGCTTTGAAATAGAATGGAATGTAGCTCAAAATCTTTATTTTGCTATGAAATAGGTAAGTAGATGTAGCCCAGAAGTGGTTCCTAAACTTTCTTTGTTATATTGTCTAAGAGCTGTTTGATGATTTGACTGATTTTTTTGTCACAAACAAAAGTTCATCCCCTAAGACAAATGAAGAGGTATGATATATTTCCTTTAGAGGGTTCAGTCAGTAACAGTCAACCAGCATTAGCTCAGCTATGAGATAATAATTTATTATTCTAGTTATACCAGTTGTAAGTCTTGCTTTTTAAACTTACGGTACACTTTTGAAGGTTTTTTGAGGCCAGGGACTGTGTTTTATATTTTTTAGTATGTGATCAATTGGATACTTAATTGACAAATTGCTTTAAGTTCCTTGAGAGTAGGGATTCTCTTTTATTTTTGTTTAGAAGCACTTGGTGTAGGGTATGAAGCAGTGTGAACAGCATTTGGAAACTTAGGGTTTAGGTTTGAGTTTGGCTCTGCCACTTACTTTAAGTAAAGGGACAAGTTGAATTATTTGTTTCAGCAATAAATGAGGATTAAAATCTTTGCCTATATTCTTGCAGTGATTATGAGGATAAAGTAATTAAGTGAAGTTACTTTATGCAAACTGTAAAACACTATATAAATGCTAATTGTTATTAACACCTCAATGTATGGTGTATATTTAGACATTTAACTGAATTTGAGTTAATCTTTAGGTATTCATCAAAAGCCTAAGTGTCAGAAAAATCATAGAGAAGCCTCTATCTTACTACTCTCTATCTCCCAGAATTTGTAGCAGTGGTAGCTAAGATACTAATATGTGCTATTATTGGTTGGATGGCATCACCAACTCTATGGACATGAGTTTGAGCAAGCCCTGGGAGTTGGTGATGGACAGGAAAGCTCGGTGTGTTCTTCCTCAGGGTCGCAAAGAGTCGGACACGACTGAGCAACTGAACTGAACTGAATATGTGCTAGATATTTGACTCCCAGCTCTGTGCCTTTAATGCTATGTATGTTTTAGGGTCCTAAGTCCTTAATTTTGCTATTTGTTTCAGTAATTCTGAGCTCTTCAGTTCAGTTCAGTCACTCAGTTGTGTCTGACTCTTTGCAACCCCTTGAACCGCAGCACGCCAGGCCTCCCTGTCCATCACCAACTCCCGGAGTCCACCCAAACCCATGTCCATTGAGTCGGTGATGCCATCCAGCCATCTCATCCTCTGTTGTCCCCTTCTGCTCCTGCCCTCAATCTTTCCCAGCATCAGGGTCTTTTTCAAATGAGTCAGCTCTTTGCATCCAGTGGCTAAAGTATTGGAGTTTCAGCTTCAACATCAGTCCTTCCAATGAACACCCAGGATTGGTTGGATCTCCTTGCAGTCCAAGGGACTCTCAAGAGTCTTCTCCAGCACCATAGTTCAAAAGCATTAATTCTTCTGCGCTCAGCTTTCTTCACAGTCCAACTCTCACATCCATACATGACTACTGGAAAAACCATAGCCTTGACTAGCTGGACCTTTATTGACAAAGTAATGTCTCTGTTTTTTAATATGCTGTTTAGGTTGGTCATAACTTTCCTTCCAAGGAGTAAGTGTCTTTTAATTTCATGGCTGCAATCTCCATCTGCAGTGATTTTGGAGCCCAGAAAAATAAAGTCAGCCACTGTTTCCACTGTTTGCCCATCTATTTCCCATGAAGTGATGGGACCAGATGCCATGATCTTAGTTTTCTGAATGTTGAGCTTTAAGCCAACTTTTTCACTCTCCTCTTTCACTTTCATCAAGAGGCTCTTTAGTAGTTCTTCACGTTCTGCCATAAGGGT